CAGACAACAATAAACAGTCATAAAATTAGAGGTGCACCGATTGCAATTTTCTGGCCGATCACAGATTTCTAAAAAGTCTGACCTGCCGATTCCAATTTTGTTTTATAAGCGACACTGTTATAAGGTCACAATGCACCTTCAATTTTCCAATATTTTATTGAAAAAACATACCCTTGAACAATATCCTAGAACAATACAAACTTGTTTTAACTGGCCATGAGGTATTGCTCTGAAATATAAATGAAGTTCAGACAATTGTTGTTAAAACTAAAAAAATAAAATAAAAATCGGTAAAATCGGTTTCTCGTGCAAGTATCGGCCGATTTCCGATTTCCCAAAATTAAGGAAATCGGGGCCGATAAATCACCCCTACATAAAATGCATATAAAATGAAACGTAAATAAAAGTTGTGATATAAAACAAAATAAAATTGAGCTACATTATGAAACAAGGTAAAATACTAAAAACAGGAAGGAAAAACAATACCTTGTATTAAATTTGACCTTGATTTGTGACCTTAACATCGGAGCTGGGGTGATGAAAAGTGGATGTAACACTCAATCTAGTTATGATGCATTCGATTAAGTTTATTTATAAAGCGCCGAGTCTCAACAGAAGTCATCTCAGGGCGCTGATCAGAAACATTCATACATATAAAAAGTAAGATAACATTATTTTTTTGAGGAGCAGACAGCTTTGAGTCTTAACTTTGTCGCAGACTCACTCAAAAATCACTGTAATGCCACTTTGGTGATATGTGACTTATTTGTGCTGCTGATTATCCATGCTGCTGATCTCATGCTGCTGTGTTCATTCATTCATACCCATCTACCGTATTATTTTACATTATTAGTGTTTTGCTATTATTATTAGTAGTAGTAGTATTAGTAGTAGTATTAGTAGTAGTAGTTGTAATAGTAGTTGTAGTAGTAGTAGTTGTTGTAGTAGTCGTAGTAGTCGTATTAGTAGTGGTAGTAGTGGTATTAGTGGTAGTAGTAGTATTAGTAGTAGTATTAGTATTAGTCGT